TGTCAGTTTTCCCAGCAAATATAGAGTCTGTGAAAATATGAAGGAGTAACACTTGCAAAAGCTACCCTTCCTGTCACTGAACCAGAGGCTGTACCTTAAAATGTAATATAGAAAATGTTCTTGATAATCAGCTTGTTGACATTTAGGTTCAACTTTCCAATCTGGATTTGCATTTCATTTGCATGTTAACATATACTAATTCTAGTATTTTTCTTGTCATTATATTAATTTCTATGGCATCAGGCTAGGCATGAGCATTGTTGGAAACAGGTTCATTACAGATGTTGATGGACTATTATAACATGCTACCCTTGAAAGTAATTAACAGACTAGGTATCATTGTTCCTAGTTCTCATGTTTTACATGTTTTCTTTCTGTACACAACTTGTGTCTCATATCTGATTGTACATCGTTGGTGTATTTTCCATCTTATGCTAAGAAGGGATTTTGAGAGCCCATACCATATGAGGGGATGCTCTTTTGACCTGGACCAATGGGGAAGGGCCTAGGCCTGGCCCAAGATGATGTGGTAGACTTTGGGGGAGCCCCTTTTGAGGGCCTTACCCTGCCTGGGGAGTGGAGGGGGGATGGCTAGGGACAGGTGGTATGTAGGGGTGGAGGGGAGGGAGAGGGAGAAGTGATTGACATCTGATTCAAGCTTGTTCTTAATTTGAACTAATAAAATAAAACAAAAATTAAAAACAAGAGATGACCCTGATTTGGCCAATTGTTTACAGGTCTATCACTACACCAATAAGTCATTACGATTCAGTTTCACTGTTGAATCCTCTAGCAGAATGAGAGAAATAGTTTTTTCAAAGACTGTGACCATTCTAACATCAGTTTATTGGAAATTTTAGCAGTGGTGGATATTTCTTCAATCCCATGGAGTTAAGTATAAACCTAAAAGAGTAGTTGGTTACTCCCATGTTATTTAACCCAATGTGCAAAGAATATGTCTGAAGACAGATCACTATTTTCTGCTTACGGCATGTAGTCAGATTCATTGAAGATTTTAACCAGGGACCAGAATGGTTTCTGTTCTATGATAACATAAGTAAGGAGAAATGTCTGAAATACTTTCTTACCATCGTGTTAGGAGATATCACCATGATGTGGAAATGCTCTTTGAGGCTCTAGTGGGAGGCTGTAGAAATGCCCTTAGCCACCAAATGATCTAAGTATCTCTGGTAACTAAGAGAAATATCTCTTCTATCATTTTATGGTATAAGATATGTAGCTATTAAATATACCTCTCCAATTATTTTCTCAGTGCATATCAAATACTTTCTTATGTGTATATATGTATATGCATGTGTATTTGTTTATATACATTTGTTTATATACATTATATACATTTGTTTATATATATATATATATATATATATATATATATATATATATGCAGGTGTCTGCATCATTGTCCTATTTGAGAGTTCATACTTGAGCACATTTACTTCCCACATTTTTCTGCTTACTCCTACAATACCATGTCTGCTTTACTTCATGTCAATATAAATCCTACTTCATGTTAAAATTATTTATCTTACATGTAAAGTTGTGTACCTAACTAACCCTTTTCTTAAGGTGGTGTTAATGAGTAACAGTTTTTAGCATCTACATTTTTTTGGGGGGTTTTCAAGACAGGCTTTTTCTGTGTAGCTTTGGAGCCTATCCTGGAACTCGAGAGATCGCAAGCCTCTGCCTCATGAATGATGGGATTAAAGGCGTGTGCTCCCAAGGTCCGGCAGCATCTATATTTTAATGCAGAAAACTATCAAATTTATTGTACAGTAGAAATTGGATTTCTCTATCCGGTGCTCATTATTTGTCTTTTGCTAACTGTGAAAAGTTGAGAGAAATCACATTTGTGTGTTCATGACAATTTATGCTGTGATTGTGCTAAACATATTGTTTCTCTGTTGTTGGTTGCTATTATCTGGGTTTTGATATTCAAAACTTCAAACTTCTGTGCTTTAAAATTCCATGTGGTTCTTTCTCTCTTTTTTGTGTTCAACAGCATTCTTTTTTTAGAATTTTTTATTTTAATTAGAAATAAATTTTTTTACATGTAAATCCAATTCCATTTCCCGTTCCTCCTAAATAACCACCCCCCCCAACATGCTACCTGTCCCATACCGTTTCTGCCATCAAGGGGTGTGAGGCCTTCCATAGGGATGTCTTCAAATTTTGTCTTATTCTTTGGGGTAGGGCCTAAGGCAATCCCCTTGTGTCTAGGCTCAGAGAAGATCCCTACATGTGGGATGAGCTCCCAAATTCCATTTCTATGCTAGGGATAAGTACTGATCCACTACAAGAGGTCCTGTAGATTTCCAAGGTCTCCTCACTGTCACTCACATTCAGGGGGTCTAGGTCACTCCCATGCTGGTTTCTCAGGTATCAGTCTGGGGACTAAGAGCTCTCGCTTGTTCAGATAAGCTTTTTCCGTTGGTTTCACCAGCCTGTTGTGGACCCCTTTGTACATCAGTCTTCCTTCTCTGAAACTACCTTCAGCAAACTCAGCATCCAGGACAACAATGTATACCTGATACTGGCCACGACACTTTAGCCACCTGGAAAAGTCCTATAGTACCATGGTGCACTTCCTCAGTGACTGAAAGAACCCAGTGTGCTGGGAGATGGCCTTGGTACTGCTGGCCAATCTGGCACAGGAGGACAGCCTGGCAGACGGGGCCATTGCAGTGATTCTTTTAAGACACTTGGGTCACAACAGATTTTCTTCTTTTGTACCATAAATTCAGTCTGGCCATTGCATGTAATATTTTCTTGGTTTTGTTAAAATAGAAATTTTTGTGTATAGATAAGGTGTGCTTGGACAAAATATGGTAAGTCCTCACAAAATTCATCAGTTGTGAAACTGTGTAAAATGTTGCTGAGTTTGTCCCCATTTTACTCCTTGTTTTTATTTTTATGCTGTAGACAGCCACTTATGTGGCAATATCAGCAACCTGATTACTTGGATTTATGAATAACTGTCATCTATCATCAGAATTCACATATTAAAAAAACAGACATTGATGCATTACCTCCAATCCTGGGACATGAGACAAATTTACTGACAGTAAGATTTCTGAGTTGACTGGTGTAACATTATTGGCAAATTCCATACCTGTGACATACAGTGTATCAACCAGAAATTATACCACTTGAATTCCTATCAGTTGTGTTTGCATGCATAATTATTTCAGTATAATTCATGGAATATATCTCCTGAGGCTTGCAATTAAAAGCGTGAAACACCAATGACTGATCTTTATAGCTTGAGGTTTGCTTTGCCTGCTGAATTTTCAGGGAAGCTTGATGAGATCGATCCATAGTCCTTAGGCTAAGGTTTCTTTGACAGGCATGGCCAAGCACACCTGTAGCCGGCCTTTAGGAGTCGTGGCTACGGTGTCTCCCAACAGAAGCTTTAATAAATTAAAAATAATGTGTCACCACAAGGGCATGTCTAATTGTCCCATGGTTGTATCTCGAAGCCATTAAGTTATCCCAGTGGGTTATATTATTTAACCAGTTGATGAAAGAAGCAAGGAAAATTTCCTGCTGTATGATAGCTCTATGAAGTGAAGATACTATATAGTCTCAAAATTGCAATATTCTATGAAATTTCATCCAAATGGATGGAACTTGAAAAATTCATCCTGAGTAAGGGAACTTGCATCCAGACAGACAAACACAATATATCCTCACTTCTAAATGGATACTAGTTATAAAGCTAAGTTTACAAGCAATCCATAGTGCCAGAGAACATGGGTAACAATGAGGACCCTAAGTGGCATACATTGATTGTGCCCAGATCAGGGAAAAGTGAAATATCCTGTGTAAACTGGCTGATGGAGTATTGATTGGAGAGGAATTCCAGTGAAGGGAAGGTAGGGACTTGTTAATAATTACAATCAACTAGGGAAACATCCAGAGATCTACTAGTTTAATCCCACTCACAGTGTGTCAGAGGCTACCTTAAATGCCCTTCTCCAATAATGAGAATGATGACCAAGTTACATGCCATTCTAGATGCTTCATTCAGTAGCTGATGGAAATAGAGCCAGACACCCTCAGCTAAATACTTAGCTGATCTCTGGAATCCAGTTACAGAGAGGGAGGAGTGATGAGAAAAAGTCCCTGTGGAGGAAACCACAGGGACAGCTGACCTGAACAATGGGTTGCTTATGGACCTCAGACTGATAGCTAGGAATCCAGCATAGGACTGTCCAAGACCCCCTGGGCCTGAAAATCAGTTTGGAGGTCTGGGCAGTGTATTGAGCCTCTGGTAGTGGATTAGTATTTATCCCTAATAGAGGCAGGACATTTGAGAGTCCTCTCCACATGGAGGGATATCTTCTAAGCCTAGACACACGGGGGAGGGTCCAGGCCCCGTTCCAAATGATATGACAGATTTTTGATGAATACCCATGGAAGGCCTCGCCCTCCCTGGGGAGCAGAAAGGAGTTGGCATGGGGGTTGGCAGGGCAGGGGATAAGGGGAGTGAGAGGGAATTGGGAATAACATGTAAAAGGGGCCTGTTTATTATAAATATTAAAAATAAAAAATTTAATAACCTGTCATAAAATACCATGTAACCTAAAATTTATGCTCTTATTTAAAGTATTATATTAGGAATTCCCTTAATATTTTAAGATTAATTATTAATGCTTCTCATACTTTATTATAGCTGTTCATGCACATTGTAGTTAATTTTCTTATACCTTAAAGTTTTAGAGTTTTTAATGGCATTTATTTTGATTTAACAACACAGATAAGGATAAGTGCATACTAGGTGAAAATGATATTTTAATGAAAAAATATTTTTGAATGGGAAAAATAAATAGTATTTAAACACTAATGTACCAGAAGTATAATTTGGAACTATGGAAAAAATAAGGACAAAAGCAAACACATGTGTTTGTTGTTGATTATAAATAGTCATATAAATAAAATAAAATTATTGAAAAATATTTATTATGAATATTTCTTTCCAGAAGGAATAGTGCAAATTATTGCTTAATCTTCAGGACAATTTTGGATACAGCATGCAGATTTTTCCTTCAGAGCAGGCCTTGAAAATAAAGAGCCCACATCACCCTCCATGCTTTATTTCCCATCAAGTGCATGAAGAAAATTTTCTGACTATGGGATATTGGTAAGTGAACAGATCTATGCATACATCAGTATGCCATTAGGACTCAATGTATCTGTAGCTTAATGAAAGAAATATGTTTTACACAAATATGTGACCATTCTAGTCTCAGATTCTTGGACATTTTATCGGTGTGGGATATTTCTTCAATCCAGTAGTGTTAATCATAATTTAAAAGTAGTTGGTTTATACTGCCATTATAGTTAAGCCACTCTGTCAGCAAGATGTCTGAAGACTGCCCACTATATTTTAATTTAGGAAGTGTAGGTAAAGATGGTGAGAATTTTTGTTCATTCTATACATTTGAAGATAGAGGTTTCTGTCCCTGCCAGGTTCCACAGCAGCATTGAACCAAATAAACACAGAAAGACTTATATTAAGTAGAAGACATGTGGCCTCAGGCTCAAGCTTCTTGTTTCCTAGCTCTGCCTTAATTGTTAACCCATTTCTATTATTCTGTGCATTACCACAGCCTGTGGCTTACCCATAATATGTCATGTTAACTCCTTCAGCTGCATGGTGTCTGTTAGAAACCTCTCTCTGCCTTCCTCTCTCTCCAGGATCTCCTGATATCTTACCCCTGACTATGCTTCATGCCTGGCTGCTGGCCAATCATTTTTAATTGTATAAAAGAATGTATAAAAGAAACATATGTACCGAAGGACATCCCCTATCAAACTTTCATCATATGTAGTTAATTGGACAGAATTTTCTGAGTGCCAGATGTATTTATGTTCTATGGTAAAACAATTAAGGAGGATATTCAAAGATAAGTTCTTCTAATTGCATTGGCTAGTATAACCATGTTTGGATATATTCTGAGACTATAGGAAACCCAATAGCCAACAAGTAAATCAAATAACTCTGGAAACTGAGAGATATATTTCTTATGCTTCTTCCTATTATAAGAATTACAGTTGTTACAATATCTCTCCAGTTATATCTCAGTGCATTTCAATTTCTTGCACTGATTCTGTGTTTATCCATTTACATATACTTGTGTTTGCATCCCTTTCCTACCTGTGATATAAGAGCATGTTATGTATTATTTTATACTTCTTTGTGTTTCCATCGGAAATACAATCTGCTCTTCTAAATGTCAAAATTTATAACTTTTATTATAAAATTATTTTATCCTGTATATACAAATGCACACTTACTTAACACATAATGTGTACTTAATCTTCTGATTATGAATAACTATATTTAATATTGACACTTAGAAAGGAAGGTCTATTGTTGTTTTGTTTTTTGTTTATTTGTTTCTTTATTTACATTAGACAAGAGTTCTTTTTTCCTAGTACTCATAGTTTGTCAGAAGTTTTTCAACTAAGTGTCTGGAGTCAAGTGAGGTTTCTCTCTGTGTTGGAATGACAATATTTGGTGTGATTGTAGTAAACTTTTTGTCATTTTGTTGGTTTTGTTTGAATTGTTTTTGGGTATTGAAGTCATCAAATTTCTGAGCTTTGAAATTCCCTACTCCTCTTTCCGGAAACTCTGGTCACAACAGATATCGTTTTCCACTGAACCAAAAACATTTCTGTCCATTGCATGCAATATTTTCTGTGTCTGAGAATAGTAGAAAGTTGTGTTATTGATCAGTTGTGGTTGGACACAGCATTGTAAGTCCTTAGCCATTTGAGCAGTTGTGGAAATGTGTAACATGAGGCCACTGGCAGTGAGACCAGGATTTATCCCTAGTGCTTGAAGTAGCTTTATAAAGCTCATTCTCTGGGAAGGATACCTTGCTCAGCTGACATATAGGAGGGAGGGTGTTGGTGCTGCCACAAAAAGATGTGCCAGACTTTGTTTTCACCATTGGAAGGCTTATTCTCTCTGAGGCATGGATGGGGTGGTTTTTGGGAAGGTGTGGATAGCAGGAGGAGAGGAGAGATTGGGAACAGGGATTGGTCTGTAAAATGAGAAAGATTGCTTTAAATTTTAAAATGTCTTTCATCAAATTTTTAGGCAAGAGAATGTAGTGAATATTTTCAAAATTTCAATATTCACATATTAGTACTGAACAGAATATTTCAAAATCATAATTGGCACTGAGAATACAAAATGAATGTCAAATATATTCAGATGTGTTAGTAACAAACCACACATAAAACCATACAAAAATTGTGAAATTTTTCATAATATACACATAGTAGGAATTTCTTTCCTAAATACAATACTTCAGATCAGTGCATAAATATCTTCACAAAGTTAGATATGGCATACAAACTAGAGGTATTCAGAAGAGGACTTGAAGCTAACAATTCCATGAACTATTAAAGGTCCTTCTTGTACATATAGGAGAAAACTAAATTTCAACCATATATGTCACAGTAGAGTTTTTTTCCTATTAACAGCTGGGGTCAGACACAGCGTATATTACATTTATTCTTATCATCCACTTTCAGTTTTACCGCGTTTGCTACAACACACTTTTGAGTGGGAGAGAAGAAGAATCAGCACCTCAGATGTAGAAATTAAGTATTAATATAGGATTTGCCTTCAGTGCTGGAATTAAGATAACTCTCCTATTCCTTGCCTGATTTGAATGCACACAGTCCATCAGAGGCCAGGAGTGCTAATAAAAGCATCAGTAGCACAGCTTCTTACATGTCAGTCTCAGGCTGTTCTCTAGGACTCACTTGATCCTGGATATGACCCAAGCCTGATTGTACTGACTCAGACAATGCAGACAGCTCCTGACATCTAACAGAGGCAGAACCTGTGGGATTCAGAAAAGGCAGGGATTGTTTGCTTCTCGGCCCAGAAGGGCTTAACAAGAAAATTTGCACTTACGATGTAATCACTGCTTTTCCGGCACTAATGTACATATATTAGACAGTGCTAAAATTGAAGAGTGAATCTGACAGGACATATCAGAAAACGCAAGCAACAATCAGCCCTTAGCACCCACGATTCACATCATGAATGTCCAGGCATTATCCTGGGCTTTCATAAATTTAGTCCGGATGTAGCCCCAAGCAACCTAATATATAATTGCCCTCCTATCTGCCAGCAGTTTCTATTTTTTATTTGGATAACTGGAGTTTTGTCCAGTAGAAATTATGTCTTCTCGTGTTGTCTGCTTTCAGTTTCCCTGCTTCTAGGTCAGCACTCGTTTAGGTGGGAGGGAGAAATGAATCAGCAGTTCTGATGGAGATTTCCAAGAGAACATCAGGATTTGTCCCCAGTGCTGGCATTGAGATCTCTCTTCTTATTGGCTCCTTTCCCAATTGAAATGCACACAGCCCTTCAATCAGAAGCAAGGGGCCCTAATAAAAGTGTCCACAGGGAAGCTTCTTACCAGTAGGGCTCGGGCTCTACTCCAGGACTCAGGAGTTCCTGGGTATAACCCGAGCCCTACTGGACACTGAACCAGACAAGGCAGACTGCTGACATCTACAGGAGTCAGAGCCCATGAGAATCAGCAAAGACAAGCATTGATTGATACACGGCACAGGGGGCTTTCAGTGAATATTTCCACTTATAAGCATTTCATTACAGGCAATCATAATATATTTTGGAGAAAAGCTAACATGAATTATTGGGGAATCTGACAGGGTATATTAGACAATGTAAGCAACAATCGGGTCTTGGCAGCTCTGATTCACAATCATGCAGCCCCAGGTAGATTCAGGGGATTTCATACTGATAGCCAGGATGTAGCCCCAAACAGTCTGATATATGACCAACCCCTAATTGTCACCAGTTCCTGTGTTTTCTTTTTTATTATTGGAGTTTTGTGCAGTTAAAATTATATTTTTCATGTACACGTTCAATTTGGCTGCTTCTCTGGCAGCACACGTTTTAGTGGGCAGGAGAAATGAATCAGCAGTTCTGATGGAGATGTCTAAGAGAACATCAGGATTTGCTCCCAGTGTTGGCATTGAGATCTCTCTTCTACACGCACAATTTAAATGCACACAGGCCTTCATTCAGAGGCATGACATGCTAATAAATGTGTCTGCAGTGAGGCTACTTATCAGTTGGGTTCAGGCTCTACTCCAGGACTCATTTGATCAGTGGTATAACCCGAGCTGACTATACACTGACTCAGACATGGCAGACAACTCCGGCCATTTACGGGAGTCAGGGCCCATGGGAATGAGCATAAGTAGGGATTATACTTCTCAGTCATCTGTTCCTGTCTCCTATGCAGGAAGTAGAATCATGCTCTGGAAGCTATTGTTTCTTTTTTAAAATCTGACATCCCTGTCTAAGTCTTGAAGTGTTGTATCATGTGCAAGGTAGATAGTTCACTTCTGGCTATAATTCATATCAATTTTGTAAATTTGATCATTGAGGCTTTATGAAGACAAGAACCATCACAAAGCAGTACCTCAAGCCTGCATCATAAAAGATCCCACATCAACCTGTTTGTTTTATTTCCAATCTAATGCATGAAGAAACACTTCTGACTATGGAAAATGGATACATGAACAGATCAATGGATAAATCATTTCATCATCAGGACTCAGTTTATGAATAACTGAATGAAAGGATTAGGTTTTGCACAAGTCTGTGACCATTCTAGTCTTGGGTTCTTGGGCATTTTAACAGTATGGGATAGTTCTTCAATTCAATGATGTTAATCATATTTCGTAAAAGTAGCTTATATTCTCATGATCTTTTAGCCACTATGTCAGCATTGAAGAGTATCAAGTATATTTGGCTTTTGGGCGTGTAGAATAAGAGAGTGAGATGTTTGTTCCTCCAGAACTTTTGAAGTTAATGTTTTGTGTCCTGCCAGATTCCATAGCTTCTCTGACCCAAAGAAACACACAAAGACTTATATTATGTATAAAATGTTTGACCAATGGCTCAGATGGCTTGGTTTGCCTTAATTGTTATCAAATTTCTTTTCATCTCTGCATTGCCACAAGGCTGTGGCTTACACTTAATCTGGTATGTTACTCCTTTGGCAACATGGTGTTTGTTATGGGCAAACTCTCTGTATTTCTCTCTCACCAGCCTTCTTCTGGACTGGTGTCCCTGCCTATGCTTCCTTCCTGGCTGCTGGACATTCAGTGTGTTTTTTTTTCCTCCACCAATATAAAGAAACACATATGCACAAGGGCACCCCCTTTCAAACTTCTATCCTATGTACTTAGTTGGAGAGAAGTTTCTCAATAAAGCAGGATCTTCAAATACATTTCCCCATATTTATGTTGCCAGGTATAACCATGATTTTAATATTGTCGATGAGCCTCTAAAGGGAGACTATAGGAAAACATGTAGTCCACAAGTAAATCAAATATCTCTGTCAACTGAGAGTGATACTCCTTATGTATCTTCATGTTATAAGAAGTCTCTAAGAATGTAATAGTGTAGGAAATGGTAAAACAGGACCTTATTTTCAAAAAGCAGTAAAAGGGAACAGGGCATTTCAAGATTCAGAGATTTGAAACAATTAAACAAAGCACTAAGAGCGTTTAGGCTGAGATGATATAGATCTCATATCTATATTGACATATCTATAAGTGACAGTGATAGGAAATTAAAGAGTTGAGTGGGAGTGGAATGTGTTGTTAACACTGGTGTGAAAACATTACTCAGAGTTCTCTAGTCCATAATAGCTTTGTAAAACGAAATCACATAATAAAGTATTTTAAAATGGCTCACAATATACTCAGTTAGTCTTCTAACAACTTGTGCTTTAAAGACTCTGCTGTGAAATGCTAATTTTGCATGATGCTGTCTATATTGAAACCTTACTTTCCCAGCATAGAATTGCAAGCCACTCTCTGATATCTGAATGAGGTTAGTATTTGAATTTAACCTGACCCTCAGTCTCAATAACTGAAAGATTTACATAGATGCTAAATACCTAAAAATCATCATAGTGAGAAATTCCTATTTTCT